CCAAGGTAAGGCCGAATATCATGGCAGAAGAGCATGGTAGGGAAAAGGCAGCTCTGGACCCAACAACCAAGAAACACAGAAAGAGCTCCACTCACCAAAGACAAAATGTAAACCCCCAAGGGCACACACACAGTGACCTACTTCCTCCAGCCACATCCTACCTGCCTACAGTTACTTGCCAGTTAATCTGCCTTACAATTACCTACCTACTGCCTACAGTTACTGCTCAGCAGATCAATCCATGGATTAGGTTACACCTTTTGTAACCTAATCATTTTACTTCTGAAAATTCTAGCATTGTCTCACACATGAGCCTTTAGGAGACACCGCATATCTAACCCACAACACAAGAAAAGTGACAGCACCAACATCATAGTGTTTCTAATGCTTAAATGACAGATTACCAAAAAACATGCTTAGCTCTTCAACTGTTATATCGCAAAGACTTGGGAATTTTACTGTTATTTATATTAACTCAAAACAGAAGAAACTACACCTTTCTGTCAACCTCCACTGGAAACTTATTGAGAGTATCGCCAACAAAAGTTTCCAAATTTTAAAATTATGGGCTAAAGTGGATTCATCACTTTTCAGAGCTCCCATCTTTCTACTAACACATTTTAATATCTACTTGAAAATGAGACTGCGAGGAAGGCTGGCGGGTGAGATGTATAATTTTCATATTTCTTCTCAATGTACCCAGAAGGCACATGGACCAACTAATATTGACAAGGCACATAATATTTGCAAAGTATTTTGAGACACAAAAGTAAATATGCTTTAAAGCTCCTTCCCTCAAAGAGATATCAAGCCTCGTGATATAACAATAGGATGCTAGGTAACAACAATAGCAACAGAAGGACAATCCATACAGGAGAGCTTGCAAAGCAACATTTGATAAATTGTACTTGTTAAGAGTATAAATGTCACTTTTAGCTCAAAGTTAGGTCTTGTGAGCCAGTAAAGGTTAAAAGGAAAAAAAATAATAAAAGAGAAATTTAAGAAAAGGGCAAAGACAGCAAGAAAGAAAACAAGGATGTCTGATGCTGCAGAGCCAAGGAAGGAAAGAGAGAGAAAGGTGGAGAGATAGTGGTGTGCATGTGGGTGGCTACCGCAGGGCATGTATGAAGACACAAAGGAAGAGGCGTAAACACCAAAGTCCTCAGACCCCTTCTGCAGACACAACAAAAGAGTAGGAGAAGCCAAAGACCTATCATAAAGGGAAACTTCTAAAATCACTTTATCTGGGGGAATTTCAGCTGCATTATCTCTTGGAGGAGTTTTAGGGTGATAACAGCTCACCACTGTAAATCCACTCTGAATTTGGAACCCTTGAAAGGAAGATATGAGTCACATAGTCAAAATACAATTATCAGCTCATAAGACTGGCTAGAAAATGGGGTGAGATGTAGGGCCAAATTTGTAATTAATCCCCCCCCCACAGAAAAATTTATTGGCCCAATTAGGAGCAAAATAATACAACTATAGGCTCCCCCACCCCTGCCACCTTCCCATTCAGCTTACTGCTCAATGTAGGGAAGGAAACCATATACATGCCTCACGCAAAGGGTTCTGAAAGAAAGAGGAGCAAGGTCTCAGTGCTCCCAGCCTCCTCCCAACCTCACCAGTCAGATGTGGAGCCAGGAGAGGACAGATGTTTCCCTCCTTACAGTGACCCCTCCAGGAGTGAAGACTATATTTTTCCTGGCAGAAATGCAAGGAGGTGCACAAATGACTTTCTCAGACTATCTTTGTCTCAAAGTTTTTCAATTACAGTAAATAACAACTGAAAGAAACACTTTATCTTCTGTATTTGACTGCCTATATTTCCCTAGGAATTTACTATTGAGTTTTTATTTATATCTATTAACTAGTTTGTTTTTAAATACACTTCTGTGTTTTGAGGGTTTTAAATCCATTTGGACGATTTGGAAGAAGCATCATCGATCAATTAGCTTTCTATGAAATCCAAAGTAAGAATTTCAAGTACCTTTTTTTTAAAATGATTTAGATTTTTCAGGTTTAAACACATTTGAAATTAAGGATATGATTTTTCTACTTTATAAAAGAGATTGGGAAATAAATTGATATGTTTGAGTACTGACAGTATTTGAAGATTAGGATCTAAACTTGAATCAAGTTCAAATATCTCTCCCAAAGAGCTAAAAGAAATGAAATCTATCACTGGGAATAAGCATATTAATTGTCTTGTTTCTGTTTAGATTTTGCAACAGAAAACCTAAATAATGTAGTATGAAAAGTATGTGCATTTCTCTTCCTTCCTTCTCTCAACCTATTTTAAAACTTCATTTTCTTAATTATTTTGGCTAAGCATTGATCTGATTAAAGCAAACAGTAACAAGATGACTGACCAATAGTCCCAAATAGCCCAATGTGCATTTACATTCCAAAGATGCACTTCTTCACTTGATGTGGGTCACTGGACTTGACAAAGCTCCTTCCCAGTACGGATCATAGTGACTCTTTCAGGAACAAACCTTGTATGAACAGTAACTCCTTTTTAGTGTTCCAATGTTCAGGTTGATGCCAGGGACAACCAAGCAAGAAAGTATGATGGTGTCATTTCAGGCAGATGGGGAGCAATTGGAGGCCCAAGTGAGCCAATCACCTAGAACTGAGGTGGACTAAGAACTTTTGTGATCTGGCACAAGTGAGCTGCCTGGGAAATTCAAATATTTCAGGTGCCTAGGGGATAGCCAACAAAGTGACCCTTGCCCAACTGCCTTGGAGCTAATCGTATCCTGGGTCAGCCAACTCAACATCAGTACTGATCTTTCAACACTATGATAACATGACAGAACTCTCCAAGCTTTGCATGCACACTGCAGAAGACAACCAATTTCAGATTTCATATTTTTCTTCAAACATTCCTTTTCTACTGCTCGTTTCTCTCTGATGTTACTGACACCAACACTCCAAACCAAATCTCTCTAGCCATGGTGCTTCCACATCATCTCTCCAGCAGGCACACATTTGTCCCCCTAAAAACTCTTGTTTCTTTTCTGTATTGCCACATTCCTTTCACATTGAAGTCTATCCCTCACATAATCTATTCTACAATCCACTCTGAGCTCCAAAGGAGAGGCCCACATTTAGAGGATTTTTCTTTAAACAAAGATCATGGGAACATTAAGATGGTCTGTTCATCTTCCTGATCCCTTGTGGGCACAGGTGTTGTTATTTCTGCAGCGTTTAAGTTACTAGTGACTCCCCAATTAATGACACCCATGAATTTAAGAGCACAGGTAGCCCTGAAGAAAATGGATTCCACTTTCCCTAAGAGTAACCTCCAGGAGTCATAATACAGCCAATCCTCGAATAGAATCTGCTATATCTTAAGATAGAGGCCTAAGAAACAAGACCAGCGGGAAGTATATTGGTACTCAGAGTGCTGGCATGCAAGGTGAATTGACATTGCCTCCTGGTTGTGGTAGGTTGCCCCACTACTCATTCTTTATCTCTTTGCAAGTCTTCCTAGGTTAAAACCTAGGAGCAATGGTTCCCAGGACCAACAGCATTAATTTCTCTAGGATTTTGTTGAAGCTACAAATTCCTGGGTCTCACTCCAGATCCATTGAGCCAGGAGCTCTGGGACTGGGCCCAGCAGTGTGTTTTAAGGAGTCCTCTGGGTGGCCTGGATGCTCACTAAAGTTTGCTAAGTACAGCTTTAGAGCACCACCCAAATATCCCCATTGATTCCTCAAGCTGTGGTTGATGACACCAAATAACAATTCTCTTCCCTCCCCTGCCCCAGGTACTGTCTACTCTTCAGGGGACCCTGGAATTCACAGGTGAGAAATACTATGACTTATATTCAGGGAACCCAACACTGGTAACAAATTTTTTTATTCTCCCCTTAGGGGTTTTTATATACAAAAGAATAAGCCTATCCATAATACCAAGCCCTGCTCAGACCACAGCTTTTGGAGATTAAAACATATCAACAACAAAAAGCTTAGATTAGGTTAAGTCTACTTTTAAATTCTTTTTAAAATTAAATAGCCATTATTTGATTTCTACTTGAATCTCAGGTGAAATAATGACCCTTGACCTTGATTTTACCACGTCTGCCAGCATGATGCAAATAAGTTAATTGCACAAATTTTGGAAACTCGTTTATTGTTTCAAATACTACTTGAGTACTTAAGAATCTAATCAGTAAAGATTGTTTTACTTACATCATTTCCTTCCCTCTACATTTCCCTATCTTGCTGTTAACTGGCCTCATCTCAGCCAGGGAATAATCTCATATCCAGGCACACTTATAAACATTAAAAGACATTTTAGGCACCAACTTAGTGAGCAAATGCTAGTTGGAAAAGGCAATAAGAATGGAACTCAGAAAGAATGGTGGGGAATCAATTTAGGGAAGGAAGGAAGGACGAGGCATCAAATTCAAAGAATGTAATAAGCCTCCCACACACTAAATTCAGCTCTGGGTGGCCCATAAACTCAGTGTGTGGAACTAGCATCATTGGTAAATTGAGCTGAAGATGAGTCCAACTGCTTTTAATCCATTCCCAAGCAACTTTCTCCCTTGTCCAGAGAAGCATGAGCTGGTTGAGATTGCTGTGAGCGAAACAGGTTTCCTTTCCTCCACTTTTTATTTTCTAGGTCACTCCTATCTTGTTTCCAATATATTTCTGAGTATTGCTTTGGCCATTTTAGACAGGCCTATTGTTCCAGTAGGTTCTGTTCAAATTTTCTTGAAAGGCAAAGAGCCAATCTGAAAAGTAGAATTTGGATTGATCTGAAGAACTAGCATTTATAATTGTGATATTCTGGTCTGAGTGACAACTAAGATAATTATTTTCTCTGACATACACACACACACACACACACACACACACACACACACACACAAATGGCTTTTATACTTGTAGTGAAGATTATATTCACACGGTCAATCATACCCTGTCTCTTGCTCCATCCCCAATCATCCTAAATGTTGAGAGGAGGTTCTATTACTTTTCACCTACCTAGAATGTTCATTTTTGGTCTCCAATTCTGCATTACTGGGCAGATGATCCCAAATAAATGTATCTGATAAAAGAGGGGAAAAAAATAGAGAAAACCACTAAAAGAGTACCTAGTAGATACAAAGTCAAACGTGTCTTCATTTCCTTTTTTTTTTACTTAAAGAAAACATGTTCAAAAACAAAAGTGATTATTCTCTTGGATGACCCTGGAAAGTGGCATGTTCATAGAGGAATGCATTTATATAATATATGGTTAGAAGCAAATCAATATTTAATTTCTATTTCACAACAACCAAATGTTCATATAGGTTATTTGATTGTTCTTTGGCATTTTATTGGTTAAATGAAATTAAATTATTCCACATTTATTAAATGCTTACAACAGTGCCTATTATATAGTAGATATCTGTAACTCGTGGTTTATAAAATTTCTCAAGAACTTGCTATATGCAGTCATGTTACTATGTTTCCTGGGTAAAAAGATAAATAAGCAGGGATGGGAATTTTTCCTTCTCAGAGCTCTGACTCAGACTATGAAATTATTTGCATGTCAAGAGTCTCCAGCCTCTTCCTTCCTCTCTCACCATTCTCACCACTGCTAATGAGACAAGAAATCTAAAACCTTGAGCGATGCACCTATAAATTCATCTTTAAAGATCTACTCAACAGTATATCCTCCCCTGGGCCCACTGCAGGAAAATATGCACCATTTGAAACCTAAACCATCTATCTGCTGCCATACAAAAATATATGAATCAAATGCAGTTGGCCCACAGCAAATTCCTAGGCTCACTAGCCCGTCCTCTATAGTAACTCCAAACACTGTTATCATGATGGTTTGCTAACCAGGGTAGAGTCACCAAAAGCGATTGCCCCCATAGCTCTTCCAGCAAGGAGGAGCTTTGAGATTAAAGCGATCCCCTCAGATGTGAACCTTCCCTGATAGTCCCTTACCCCTTTTCCTCAAAGGAATCCTTGTGGTCTTTGTGCTGCCCCTGCACTTAGAAACCTCTGTGAGACCTTTTATCATATTCTTCTAAAATTATTTGTTGCATACTTACCTGACCCTCTTGAGAGCAGACACTTCTTCATCTTTGAATCTTTAGCAACTCATATAATAATGCACTGGCACATGAAAGGGGTAAATAAATGGTTTTCAGGTGAATCCTCTTTGTTCAGAATGAGTCAATAAACAAATATCACTTAGCCAGCACCCAGCAAATTGTGTTATCATTGAAAGTGTCTTTTCAACTTTCTGTATACCCACTGAAAAACACTTAAAGGTATTGGTCCAAGTTTATTATTGTATGCAAAACCTAGAAAATATTTTGTCCTGTTATTGTTATTTTGTCAAAGTAAAACCGTACAATTTTAGAGCAGGTATAACCTTGAAGGTCTAGTACAGATCCTCTCATTTCACAGGTGAGTATCTCAAGTCCCAAGAAGTTAAGTCAGGGTCAGACAGCTAATGAATGGAAAGGGTGGAATCCTAGTCTCTTGGATCTTTACCTAGTGCTTGATTTACCAGTCACCAATCCAATTCAGTTTGTTGGGATATCTTGAGAGCCTCATGAAGGGACTTGGAGAAGACACTGGAATATTACCTGGATTCAGACAGAGGGAAACCACCTCTACCAGCTGATCTATTTCTTTTACCTCCCCCAAGGCAAGAACACTAGCTAAAAAGCTGTCCTAGTATAAGTAGTAAGTAAGAAAGGGTGGTGGGAATGGTAGAAATATACATAATATGCAGCTAAATGGATATCAGGAGGCCCTTTAGGACAGTTCAGGATTTATAATCTGGGGTCAAGAAGGGTTTCCCTTGATCAGATCTTCTGCAGTGAGCTAGCTACAGAATAGGATCTTTAGAGGTACTATGGCTGGAACTATGTCTCTGATGGACCTGGAATGTGTGTAGCCCATGACTTTAGAAAAAAAAGGAACAAAGGCAATATTTCCTGAGGTTTTTACTAGGAAAGTGCTTCACCCATTAACTCACTCTAAATGCCAAGGAGCTAAGCTCAGCCTCTACAAAGACAAAGGAGACAGAATCCCTACTCTCAGGTGCTCAGTATTTGTGATATCTCTAAGAACTCTTTGGAGGGGCCCAGTATACACATCCTCTGCAAACAGTGTTTCAGAAACACAAGTATCTCTGTCACTCAGGATTTGTTACTCAGTGATGGGCATGATATTACCCTGACACCCAACTTTCAGTCTCATGATGAACATCATTTAGGCATCTGCATATCTGTTCTGTTCTCAGAACCAAAGGCATCTGGGTCCAAATGTTGTGAAGCTTTGTGGATTGCGCCTGTGCAAAATTCCAGCTTCAGAGAGAAGAGTATGAGCAATGAAAGATTTTGGCAAGAGAGAGGAAGATTAATTCCCATATCAAACATCCCCTTTCAGATAGAAAGGCTGTGACAGATTCTCACTTAACTTGTCAGATGGCGATGTGTGATTTGGGAGGTACTCACAAATCAGTACTATATGCACAGCAGCTGCAGGTAGAGATTAAAGAAAATTTCACAGGAAGCAATTCATATTAATAACTATTAAGTTTGCCTTTATGTACTTCTAGACATAATATGCATTGGAAATAATAAAAATTCTTTTATTACTAAAATTCTTATATTATTAAACTACAACCAGATGAAATTTCAGTGTTGGAATTGTGAACAGTTTAATATTCATAAACATAGTCAAACTTTAAAATGAATTTTAAATGTCAGCCTTATTGAGAAATTGTCATATTTGTCAATTATAATTTGTATTTTACCTCTTATCCTTAATAAGATAGGAGAAATGTGACATTTAGTATGTATAGGATATATAGTATGAGCTTTGATTTTTATGTTTACTCTATTTTTGACAATATCAAATTATATAGTTTCACACAAATATATTTTATTTTTTATCCTGTACCTCATTTCTATAAAGAGCACTCAAATTATGGAAACTTTTGAGTAGACAACATAATTAATAGTTTTGCTAAAATAAAGAGGAAAAAAAGTATCTTATAGAATAAATTACTTGGTAATTGGTTAACTATGCATATCTCTTACTACTTGTGCAAACATCACTGGCCCATCAACAGAATACCAAGGCAAGCACCATAATAACCACATTAAATCATGTTTCATATTTTGCCAACTTTCTATTATATAAGAACCAAGGCTTCGCCCACATTATTTTTGTTGTATCATTATGAAAGTATATCTGTCAAAGTAGAAAGTGAGAACACATTTTATCTCACAGTTGGTGAGCTCAATTTAGAGTCTTTAGGAGTGTGGACATATGGTTTGTGGGCCTCCGTTTGTCCTCTCATCCCAGGTGCTGAAAAGTTACAGGCCACCAGTGAGTGAGTCACCATGTTAACAAAAAATGACTGAAACCCCAAAGGGAGGCAACAAGAAAAGTCAGAAGTAAGCTTCTTCTCTTTTCTTGAAAGCAGGATTCTTTTTTTTTTTTTTTTCCTCTTACACTCTCTGTCTCAAGCAAAATCATACAGGCATCTAGGTTGTGATGACCTGGAGTGTTATTGTCCTTGGAGTCAGTATTGGCAAGGTCTGATTCATTCAGCCTTGTCCAGTGTTCTTGGAAGGATTGATCTATAGGGATGGATGCAGTTTGCATCTGTGTTTAAGTACAAAGAATGGGAGGAAAAGAGGGGGACAGTGCTTTTCAGATTTAGAGGTCCTGCCAGCAGCTTCCATGTTCTGACTATAATAGGGATTTGAATGGGATCAGTCTAGCAAGTTCCTGCCTAGCTGTGACTGTATGGCCTCTGTGGGTCTGATTCATTCCAGTACGTTCATAACGGTCAAAGCAAGGTGATGGCAAAATATGATGATTCTGATTTTGGTTTTCATTTCAGAGACTTTAGAGAGAAATGCCTTAATCTTTCATATATTAATGTGGGTTTTTTTTTCATTTACCTTTTGTGACTCTTTTGGTATATCTTTTTTACTTCTCCAATTAATCTCTTAAAACACACTTACTCTTAGATTTTACTTTATTTTCCACAAACAGATATCATTAAAGTCTGGTAAATTTCCTTTCCTTGTGGATTTTTACACAGGTATTTTGAAGTTGGTTGAAATTTTCTCTCCATCAGGGTAACCTGCATAAGTTTTCACAGCTTATCACCTTTCCCATTATAGAATGGGGTCTTATATAATCAAACACCCATTAATTTTAAGAAAATGTAGACAAATAACAAAAAGTGAAGAAAGCAACAACATGAGCAAAAGGGGAACTCTATTTAAATAGTGCAGGTGGCACCCCTGCATTGGATCCAACCCTGTCTCCTGAGCTCATGCCTGGGTGGACCCCAGTTGGGAAGCATAAATCCTCTATGTCCTATGAACTAAATATTATTTCAGTATTTAAGAACATGACCTTTTCCAAACATTACTCCTAAACACAGGTCAGCCATGTCCAAAACTCAACTGAAAAGGCAGGGTTCTCTCTCAAAGTTAGAAGAAAACTACCTGTACCAGGTGTTTTGAAGGTAGCATGGTGGTCTCCAAAGTATTTCCCTCTTCAGCAATTTCCCAAAGGTAATTTTGACTAGTTATGTTTTCAACTCATCCACCAATCTTAGAAGTAAATAATTATATATGCTGTGAATTTTAGATTTGTGTTCAGTCCCATTTCAAAATAAAAAATAAAAAGGACTGGGGATGTAACTAAGTGATTGAAGTTTCCCATTATTGAAAAATACCTCTCCTGTGGCCTTCATATTCCATGTGAAGAAGTCACCAGATGGTTACTATATTGATATAGTGGAACTGTTTATAAGACAGAACTAACTATTGCATTTCTCCAAGTATGGTGCTCAACTCACCTGATTTGGAATTAGGAGATGTATTTAAAAGACAAATTCATGGGCCCCACCACACTCCTAATTCAGCATTTCTGGGAATGAGCTCCAGAGCCTGTATTATCTCATGCTTCTCAGTGGTTCTTGGGCATTCCAAAATTAAAGAACAATATGTAGGTGGCTCTCAATAGTGCCTGTGCATTACAATCACCTGGAGAGATTTTGTGACACAATAATTCCTTGCCAACCTCAGACTGATAGACCTGAGACTCTGGGCATGGGTGAGGCCATGATGTATGTGTGAAGCTCCTGAGATAATCCTAATGGGCATTAGGGATGAGAACCAGTTTCAGACCCTTCTTTCTCCCACTTTGGCTCACCTGTAATCTGCTGTATCAGCTACATTCAGCAAACAGTAGACACTAGGGAAGAAAGAAAGAAGAAGGAAAACAAATGTCAGAGATACAAATGTCAGTGTCCGTGGGAAAGCAAATCTCTGGGCAAACCACCTCACAGCATGGGCTTTCAAAAGCAGTCAGCATCAAAGTAACCGGCTCTCTCCAGACCACTCAGAGAGTGACATTTGATGAAGGTCCCAGAAAGAGGCTCTTTGCTACCTTAGATTTGTTACCTATTAATAATTTAAGTTGAATCCATGTCACTGTTCCCTGAACTGACCCATGGTACACTTTCCTTGGAATTAGAAGAGTGTAAATTAATCTCTTGTTTTAAAGAACAAAATGACTGTTCCCCTTAAATAAATAATATCTATTTTGCATAAGCTATTTATATAAAACTATATCTATCATCTGTTATAAGCCTCCAAAAAACTACTTTCTGTATGCAGAAAAAGTACTTTTATCCCCACACCTACCTGCATCTCTATTATATTTATTAATGTCCTGTTTTATATTTTATAATCACAGAAGAACACTCTTAATATTCCTCTTAAAGAGGGATGGTGTGTATTTGATTCATGTTTATACTTACTATTATACTCCTAGATAGCCCTGGAAAGTGGTAAAAAGGCTATAAATATTTCTTGGGTAAATATGAAAATTAAAATAACAAAAATGAAAATTAAAATAACAATATTTCAATATCCAAGTTGTAAAACCCAAGAGCAAACAGTTTGCTAATTACAAACTGACATGCTCTTTTCTTGAAGAACACATCTCTGTACTCATCTCATAGTGGCATTAACTACTATTAATCACTACTAGTGTTGTGATTAATCACACTACTAGTGTTGTGATTGTCAACCCAAATTTTAATCTAATGAAAATTATATATCAGGAATCAATGATGGCTTAAGAAATCAATATTTTAATTTTAAATGAAAATGTTCTTTCTTTTAAAGTGAAGAGGCAGATAGATGACAGACCCTTTAGAAAGAAATCAGGAAGGTACCCCGCCCCTGCCCCTTGGGTAATGCGATGGGTAGGGGCTGAAGATGGAATTGGTAATGATCCATTTCTGGATTTGCATGCTGGGTAAGGAGTGTGCTCACTTTATGAAAATTAGTTGAGTGATTTATGTTAAACAAAGTAAAAGTTTACTTTTAAAAAAGAGTGATACTCTTGGCACTGTTTAACTAGTGGTGCACTGATTCAAACAAGCTTCTAATAGGAAGAGAGGAGGGGACCATTTCCACACAAGTGGGATTTTAACAGTAATGTTGCACATCCACTCAGAATCCAGGTACATGTGGGGTATTTCATTGATTTGGTATTTCATGAATTTACATCTCACATTCTTCTGGGTTTCTGCCTTTTACAATCTAGTGTCTCTTGATGCAATACACACTGAGGCCTCTGTTACTCACACTCACCCACCCACCAAACACTCCTCAAGGTTTGTACCATATACATCTCTTTGATTTGTGTTCTCTCAGCTCAGGGTAAGCCCATAGTAAGTACTTAGTACATGTTAAGATTCCAAGATCTTTCAGGGCTTACCCAACATCTCTATCTGCAGGGACACTTGGTCCTTTGTTCCTAGCTATCCAAAAAGAGGCTTGTATTAGAAGGAGGCACTTCAACAACATCACTGCTCCTGAATCCTAAACCCCCTTTAGCCTCTATCGCACTGTCCTCTAGAAGAATTGCTGCCCATGATTCAAAAATAGTTCTTTCAGCTTTTTCCAAATGGTAAAGTACTTTCAGAATGGACAAATAAGAGTTCTTCCGGGGACATGAAAGAATATTCCTAATCCAGTGGGTCTGGGAGCCACCTTCCATCAATTCCATTTCTCACCTGGCTGCTGCACAACCTTCATTCTTCTTCTTTATGGCTGAGTAATATAATATTCCAGTGTGTATATATACCACATTGTGTATATATACCCAGGTCACCCTTTAGTGCACTGCCTCGCCTTCTCAGGTCTAACTTTAAGAAATTCTTCCAACACTGTCTTTTTTTTTGGAGACCATTTGTACGCTTGAGGAGAGACGAAACAGCCTCCTCACCAAGTTGGGAAACTCCTTGTAGAAACTGTTCAGCAGTTTCAAATACAGACACTTATTTGACAAAAATCAAACTCCTTGGCCCCATCTGGTGGTGCCCTGCATTTAGTAAATTCACAGAAAGCATTTAAGTCCTTCCCGGGAACTGTATATACTCTGTCCCCAGGCAACTATGGGGCATAGACACCAAATCTCTGTCAATGATGAAGCAAGGTCCCATCCTCATGAGGCCAACGTGACATCTGCCATTTTTGGTGTCATTAAATCTCAGGGAACGTCTTAATTCCAAGTGGATTGTGAGAACAAATACATAGAAAGAATACTCTTGAATTTAAAACCGAACTTAAAAGTAAATGCTTCTTCTAAATGAAGATCTGAGGGACAGTCTGTAAATTTAAGATGAGTATTTTCCCTTTTGATTCCAATGTCCTCTCTGTATATAAAGAATTGGGGGGCTCCAATTCAATATGTTGAGCCAGGTAAATGTTTCTACCTCCCTCTCTTTCTCAAACCTATTCAAATGACAGCAATAATACTCAAAAGGTTAGGCCATGAGTAGGGCTAAGACTGGGGACATGCTCTTGAAGATGAATGGCATATGAGATGACATTGACAGGACAAAGCACAAGAACTACTGAGCTCCAGAGAAGGCACAGGAGAAGCAGCAGTGAAAGTGGAAGCCAATATCCTGGAAGTGGGGATTAGGAAGGGGCAAACACTAACGCAGCTGACCTTTGAGTGGTGCATAATGAAAAAAGTTCATGTTTCTGAGGTCAAGGAGAAAAAAATAAAGGAAACTAGATACTCCAGGAAAAATGAAATTCTGTATAAAAAAAAAATCATGACAAAAGCATGGTGCTTGATTGTAAGAAATTTATGGAGTCTAAGAAAAAAAGAATCTGTATTTGAAACTCTTAAATATTCTACTTGACATAGACTTGATTTAAGAAGAGTTTAACTACATCTCCTCTACACCTCTACGCTCTGGTTCTAAATTGAATACTATTAAGCAATTTAATGGCATTATAAATGATATTTGGTTTTTGTTTCTCAGAGTTAATATATAGACAAAGAACAGAAGATTTAATGAAAACCTCCATTCAGAATATAAATGCTTTAAACTTTGGCAATACAAAAATAGTGATAGAAGCTGGGCATGGTAGTACACACTTATAATCCCAGCAACTCTGGAGGCTGAGACAGGAGGATGGCAAGATTGAGGCCAGGCCACATCAATGTTTACAGCAGCTTAATTCACAATAATTAATCTATGGAGCCAACCTAGGTGCCCTTCAATAGATGAATGAATAAAGAAAATGTGGTATATATACACAATGTAATATTATATTACTCAGCCATAAAGAAGAATGAAATTATGGCATTTGTCTGTAAATGGATGGAACTGCAGACTATCATGCTAAGTGAAATAAACCAATCTTCCAATCCAAAGGCTGCATGTTCTCTTTGATATGCAAATGCTAACACACAATAAGAGGAGGGGGAGGAAAGAATAGAAGTTCATTGGACTAGACCAAGAGGAATTAAGGGAAGGGAGAGGGAATGAGAATAGGAAAGACAAACAACAAAAAAAGACAAAGACAAACAAAACTTTCATATGTTCATATATAAATACACCAAAGTAAAATTCCATGTGATGTACAACCACAAGAATGGATCCTAACTAGAGTAAGTTATACTCCATGTATAATATGTCAAAATACATTCTATTGTCATGTATAACTTAAAAAAACAAATTTTTTAAAAGAAAAGTAAAAAAAAAAGATTGAGATCAGCCCTGGAAACTTATTGACACCCTCAACTCCTTAGCAAGATCTTGTCTCGAAAAAAAAAAATTAAAAGGAAAATCTCTAGTGGGTTCAATCCCTGGTACAAAAAAGAAACAGAAAAAACAGTAGTAGAACTGATAAAGTGTAGGAGTTAGGAGTGGGGAGGAAAAGACACAAGAGAACGTAGGACTGCCCAACTCCACATCTTACACCGTGGCTAGTTGCATGACCTGCCTGAAATTGAAGGAATAAGAAATCAAAATCAAACACATTTTATAAGTATAACCGAGAAGAGAAAAAAATAGGCATAGATACAGGGGAAAAGGAAGAGGTTAGTGGATATGAATTGAAATGGTCATCTTCTGCCGCAAACTGGAGTTGGAACTTGTTGTAAAAGAACTTGCTACAAATTTTTATTTCCATGAGCATGTGCTTCTAAAATTCTCATTAGCATGCTGACATTACAACATCCCATGTTTACAATCTTTCCAATTTTCCCACCCTCAACCAAGGAGACAGTGACCCCACAGGATCATCAGAACTAGATATCAGGTTAAATTTCCATGGTCTTTAACTCTAGGGTAGACGGTCAGTCACCTCACTGGAACTGTCTAAGTCTGACATGTATCACCTTCTGGGCTGTAGAAGCAGATCCTTCTGAGCTACCATATCTCCAACTACCTTCTGGTTTATCTGACCAGCATTACCTGTTTCCTATGGCTGTCATCTTCTCATACAACCAAGCACCACAAATCTCTCAGAAAGTCTCTTTGATCCAGTGTGCCCGAAAAGTCCAGGAACTCCTTACTTCTGAACTACCAGAAGAGAAAAAGCTACCAGGACTGAAATCCGGATGATGAGACTTTCTAACTTTCAACTCTAGCAGAGAGTATTGATTATACTGCATGTGCACTGAGTCCAAGAAACTTCTAGATCCTAATGTCAAGAAGGGAAACAGGTATTATATCTTACAAAGAGTCCCTCCTCTTACTTTGAATGTCAAAGTCAAATGCTAGAAATCTAGGAAATAAAATGTTTTGTACGCTTCAGGAGATTGTAAGAGACCAGAAGTTGCAGTTTTTCCTGCTATTTTTCATATTCATCTTTTTTCCAAACACAGCCCGGCTTCACTGGACCTTATTTGGTTTGACGCTGCTCCAGGATCATTTC